TTTCGACTAGCTTTAGGACTTATCACTTGTTTGTTGACCAAGCAATATTACAACCTTGAAAAGCCCTTGTGATTCTTGCAATTGTATTTTCAATAAGTTTTTGGATGAATGCATAATTTAGTCTTTTGTTTGCGAGTTTGTGGATGAGTGTTTTTTTTGCCCCTCACCTTTGTGTGTTCTTCATCTACCGATGAATTTTTTATAGATGTGATTCATGATTGAGCTTGTTTTGTTTTAGAATGTTTTGTATGATTTTTGTACTTAAGATTCGTTTCGTTTATATGTTGTCGTTGTAGGATAATGGTAAGTATGTATTTTGCGTGTATGTTTTGTTTGAACCATACATTTGTTTTCTGTTTTAAAACTTGTTGATTCATGATTATTTGATTATTATTCTTTGTTTCTTTGAGTTATTTGACTTTGTTTGAGGACAAACAATGTGTCAAGTTGGGGAGAGTTGATAAATGTCAAAATATAGTTATTTTGTATATATGTTTTGTGGCACTTATCTGTTCTTTTGTTGTTAATATCGGTTGAATAGCCCCACTTTTGTGTAAATACATTTTATTGTGTTTTGTGTACATATTGTACCGTTTGATTAGTTTTGTATATATTTTGTAGGATTTTGTCGCATTATTGGAGCATTTAGAATAAAGTTCAAATGGAGCTCCAAGATGCATCTTTGATCAATAAAGGAATAAGGCAAAAAGAAGAAGTCATAAAAGTTATGCATGAAAAGCAACAAAAGTTGTTGGACTATCATGGATCGTCAGGCGAGGTCCATTAGGGCCATCACGTCTGTGTCGCCGGGCGACGGTAGATATTTGTTACAAGTTAAGGACATGTCTCACTCTGGGCCATGTTTATAAGGTCATCGTCGGGCGACGCTTTTTGGGCGTCGGACGATGCTGCGGAAACAGAATTTTGTTTATATTTCCATTTCATTTAATTTGTCGAGTTATGTTTTTTAGGGGTGAGGTTTTGCTCCCAAATTCCATCAAGCATATAGTTTTTGATAGATTAGCTTAGAAAACAACACTAGGGCTTGCTTATGGATGATTGGAGGTGGATTGCTCTTCGATTGACGTTGATAAACCAGTGTAGATTTGTGGTTTATCTTTTCTCCTCTCTATGTATTTCTCTATTTGTTGGGTTTGTATGTATATTTACCTTGAACTCATGTATATTTGTCGCCCTTGGCATTGTATAAAGTTTGCTTTACGAATCTGTTTTGGTGATTATCTTTGGTTTTTACTCTGTGTTAGGGATTTAAGCTTTGTTAGACATAGATTGTTTAGATTCTTACCTAGGATGGTTATCTGTTAGTTTCTGAATGCTAGAAATGGGTTTAGAGCTGACATTCACTTAGGGTATCTGATCTTAATGCCTTTGTGTCAGGAGTGTCGGGCTAAACATAGTCGATGCGAGTGATGCGGTTGAATTCTCAATGTGGGTTAGAAGTAGCTTGGGTTGTGAGAGGTATGTGATGACACGGACAAGTATCGTAGATAGAGTATAACTGGACGGTAGATTTAAGTCTGTGACGAGTAGTGTGCATTCATTTCGGACAAGCTGTTTATCCTTTATAGTTTTTGTTCATTTACTTTTTGTCTTTTCTTTTCAACCATTTAACCTCAAACTCATTAATGATAGAATTGTCAAACGACGAATCAATAACCAATCTCCGTGGACACAATACAATATAACCTAACCGATATATATCACCCGGTAAAAATAAATACTTTACTTTTTGCTTGCCTGCTATACCAACATTCGAACAGTCCACTTGGCTCTACTGGTAAATTATCTTTAATTTCATCCTACGAGCATTCATAAATACTATCTCATAGGACTCAAGAAATGAAGAATAACACACTTCACAATAATGTATAAGCTAGTAGCTTAAATGTTTGAGCCACGTAGAACAATAGGAGCTACATATTTATCACGTCGAAGTCTTGACAAACCTATAGCCCAACTAGTGTTTTAAATGTATTTGATGATCGACAACCCTATGCCCATCAAGAAAAGGTTTTACAGAAGTTTATGCTACCTTCTATATGATCATGTCCAAAAAGGTGGTTTACAAAATTTATCTGCCACCTTCTCGTTGGACTAAGTCTAGCAAGGTGGTATCCAGAGTTTTCCTACCTTATGTCTAATGAGACTTACTCTTCTATGTTCCTAACTACGTAATGAATAAGTTAGGAAATCCCATTTTTCACTCCCTTAATTCTATTATCTCGGAATTGGGGTGTTTTGGTTAATACCGAAGTTATTCCTATCTAACTTTAAAATAGCTCCCAAATTACAAATTATATGATAAAATTATGAAACTTTCCAGTAAGAAAGTACCACAAATCATCTTTTAAACCCAATTTGTTTCATCTGAATCCAATTTTTATATCCTTGGTTACAACTATTTCAAATCAGCCATGTCATATAAGTTTCTGCATAAATTCAAAGACAAAATATCTAACTTCAAAATAGCGCCAAAATTACAAATCACATGATAAAATTATGAAACTTTCTAGTATAAAACTACCACAAATCATATTTCTAACTCAATTGGTTTCATCTCAATCCAAGTTTTCTAGCCTTAGTTACAACTATTTAAATTCAACCACGTCACAACATTTTATGCATAACTCCTAAGGCAAAATATCTAAGTTCAAAATAGTACCATAAATTCAACTCACATGGTAAAATTATGAAACTTTACAGTATCATTAATACATGAGTTATATTTATAACATAATTTATACCATCCATTTCCAAGTTTCCAATAAGTACGGTTTATCATAAAAGGCCACACATGTTGCAAAAACAGACAACAATTTTTATCTAACTTGTAACCTATTTTTAGGTTTCAATTATTTGTAAACTGTGATCAAATTTATGTTCAAATATAAGGTAATTGACTCTAGTTTCTAGAAATCAAACACAAATTTAAAAATGATACATATAGAAAAAGTTATGACTAAATACTACATCTATGTCCTTCAAAAATCATACTGACAGCAACATAATTCAACATCATTTTCATGTCTTACAAGCTCAAATACCAATCATTCATACACCAACGCCTACAAACATCATTGATCATACACATTTCGCATATAAGTCAAGGTTCATAGCAACAATTCATTGAGATATCATTATGGTATAAATATCAAACATTCAAGCATATGAACTACAAACCTTATCCTCAATGTATAAAATACTTAATCCACTAAACCCCACATCATATCTAATGGACTCACCTTTAAGAAAAAATTCTAAATTTGATGATGGATATGAAGCAAAGATGACGATGATTCTCTTGGACGATGAAGATTTCTGCAAGCTTCGATGATGGTGGACTTGGAATTTTTCTCCCTTTATCTCTTAATGTTTTCCCTTGTCTCTATATGCTACTCTTTTATTTTACAATTCTAAGTTTTTGAGATATGATTTAAGGTAGAAGTGGAAAATGAGAGAGTATGGAATGATTTAGGTTTATATAAAGCATACTCCAATTACCAAAATACCCTCATCACTTAACCATAATTCCTAATCCATGTCACTTCTAGATTAACTGTTAGATTAAGACTTAACCCTTATTTAATAATCATGCTATATTCATTTAACCAAGTCATTAACTTCCCAATTATACCACTTTCCATATAATCAAGACAATTAACATATTAACCAAGGCCGTTTCTTGCTAACCTTCTCTTTAATCACACTAATATTCCATTTTTATGTTGATCGTTTAATGTATAGAAAGTTGGGGGTATTACACAAATTTTGAATTGCATTCATCCATGGCCATACCATTGCAAAATTACATCATTACATGAGTAAATTTTATCATTTTACATTGTCGTTACATATCACCATCGTTCATGTGAAATTACACAACTTTGCATTACAATTGAAAGAAAAAGAAAAATTGAACTTCGTTCATGATTCAACATTACATGCACATATATCACGACATTGCAATCGTCAATTTGGTTACACAGTTTCTACACCAATCCCATAAAATCATAAACAAATTCACTCACACACCATCACACATACCTCACCCTCTAACTTACATATGTTATATCAACAAATATCTCAAATCTCACACACTTTGAATCCTCACACACTCACTTATTTCAAACCTAGAGCTCACGTATAAAGCCTAATTATTTTTACTAAATCAGCAACCAAGAACACACAAATTTGAGAGAGAAAAATGAATCACTAAGCTACCTTCATTATTTCTAAATTTGAGAATCAAGTATCTTTGCATTTGTGTGAAGCTCTTCTAGTTCATGAAGAGATTCTAGTACCTGCATTGAGTAGAATTTGCATACGACTCCATTAATACCCCATCATTGAGCCCTTAAAATCACACAATCCAATCGCACCAGCCACACAAATTCAAGAATAATTTCAGAGGGAGAAATTATGAGTTGAGAAGAAGAAGTAGCAAAGGAAGATAAAGTTAAGAAAAATCATGATTACTTGGAAGTTTGACCTCACTGAAAGTTGAAGTTCTTCGTCGGAGAAACTCTTGCTTTGATTTGGTACTTCCCTTATGTTTCAATGCATTATCTTCACCTTTTCTTGATTCTGCGTATATGTCGAGCATTTCCCCAAAACTAATTGTTGTGAACTATTGTTAATTCGACCGGATTAGATGATTTGATAAGTTAGATTTTATGTTTAATTTGGTGTGTTTTGTTGTTTGTTTGTAAGTTTGGGCTTTGGATTCATATTCAGAAGCTGATTTGTAATAAGTTTTATGTTGATTATTTCTAGATTTGAGGACGTTGTCATGAATTCTAGGTTTGGACACTCATGGTGTTCTTGAGGATATTCATAGATTTTTGGAAAAAAGGTGTTTGATCTTAGAAACACTAGTGCAGAAAAGACTTTTTACATCGGGAAAAAAACACTTTTTACATCGGTTCAGGGTCCGATGTAAAGTCAAGTGAGATGGGGAGTCCGACTGAGATGCCGGAGACTCAGAGCCTGATGTCCCCTCGCTGAGAGGCATCATATGGTTTTGGTATGTGAGCAGTGCTCGTAAAGTAAAGTCTACAGTCAAGGCAAGCCCTACTGAGCAGCCCAACCCTCTTAGAGCAAAGGATAGGGCTCAACCGCCCAGAGAGAACCCAACCTTTGAAAGTAAGGCATGAAAGAAATCCAATTCCTTGAATTGCTGACAAATAAGATAGAAAATACCTAAAAAGGTAGAAATAAAGAGAAACTAAGATTTAAGAAAAGGAGTCAAACTCAAGCTCGAACTTATAAAGATAGGCGGATTAAAAGTAGTTAAAGCCCCGCCTTGCTTTCGCGTATTTAGGGCCTAACTTTGTAAAGCGTTTTAATGTTGGAATTTGTGTTTCATATGAGGCAAAATAAACATGGGGGGCCGTTTTCTTAGGCAGTTGCTGATTGAGGAAAAACCGTCAGCTCTGTCTTTGCTATTTCGACGGTTTCCTACAACGAAAAGAGACTGGATCTTCAATATAAGTCTTTCTTGTGAAAGAATAGGGCAGCATTTGTTTGTGGCTCCCTCACACCACTGCTGGTGACCTTGCAAACTCTAAGGTCCTTTAGGATGTTGGGTTAGTAAGAACAAGATAGTGGGCTTTCCCGTGTAATTTCGACACCTTGGACTTCGGCATCTTTACTTAGGGATACCCTTGGTAAATCATCTTTCTTTTCCCTGCGAGAACAGCTCTTCTTCAGCTACCGAAGCTTGCAGGTGTGTAGTTGCACCGAGCTTTCTATTTTGAATTCGGGTTCCCACGGTATTGATGAGAGCCTTTTTTCCTCGGATCATGTTGTCTGACGTCCTTCCTGATGAGACCTTCTTCAAAGTCCCTTGTTTTAATTCGACGAAGAGCTTCTTTATCTTATGCAATTTCGAGATCAGGATATTGAAGAATACCTTCGACGTGTAGCTAAGTAGCTTCAGATTCCTTTTCCTTGGTTGCCGATCAAGGTAGAGTCTTCACATGTGATCAAGTAAAAGAGTTTGCTAATATATCTAGTTTTTGTTGAAATGATTCACTCAACACCTTTGCTCAGGCTAATGGACAAGCCGAGTCTTCCAAAAAATAAGGTGAACTAGCTTATAAAAAATGATAAAGGATAACCCAAGCAAGGATCTGGCATGAAGTGTAGTCAGAGGCTCTCTAGGCATGTCGGACAAAAAGACCGATTTTCCATTAGGAGGTGGGACAAGAAGCTTAACCATACTTGGCTTTGGAAAGACTTCTGCTCGACACGTTCAAGCTTTTCCGGGAGGATCTTTTTTAAATATTTTATTCCCAGGTTAAAGACTGGGGCGGGTTTAACTAAATATCCTGACCCCTGACCCATAGTCTTCATGGATCTGATCTTTCCTGCTATTCCTAAGGAAAGGATAGTATTCAAGGCGATCATAGTCAGCATCGGCATAAGGGAATAAAAGTGGCAAGAATCATTCCATTCTTCCTCGGCAAGAGCACCCAAATCCGAATTTTGTTTTTGGCCTTGTCAGTATCCCTTTGTGAGTCTTCTGCTGAAGACTTTCTCCTTAGTAGTCTCCCAATGGCCCTTGACCGGTGTGGCTAAGCCAATACATAATCACTATAAATTAGTGACGAGGGCTCTCTGCGGCTAAGAATAGAAGGTGGTGTACTAGTTCTCAGTAAGTATTGGAAGAATCCCATGAAATGTTCATCCAAAGAGGGATTTTAGTTAGTGAAAAAAGACCTTCTTTTTCTTGTTACCTCCTGCCCGCAGCCATGCACTTAATAAATAAATATCATAGGAGTAGCAGCGTTAAGCGAAGCATCAAAGTAGAAGGAGCTTGACACCATTGAATCAAGTGTTGAAAGACTACGTATGAAAATAGAATCCCCAGATGATAGGGGCCCAGGAACTGAACGATGTTAGCGCAAGGGGCTTAAATTAAAAGGCAGGTAGCATTCGATAAGCAGGCAGGTTTAGGAAACTAGCACCAGGTACTAGGTCGATGGCATGCAGAATACTCCTCATCGGTGGTAAACCATGGGAAGAGCATCACCAACCAGCTCCTTCAAATATTTTAATAGTATCTGAATGAAGAAGAATGTCAAGAGAATAGTTAAATGCCGGCGAATAGCGTAGGAAGTAACCAAGTTTGAATGGTGGAAAGCCAGCAAGGGAAAAAGCATTAGTTTCAGCGAAGCTATTCTTTACCCCTTAATCGTCAGAGAAAAGTACTTTCAGGCAAGGTCGGCTAGTGAACCCCGCTACTCCTTTGTCTTTTAGGAAGGGAAGTCTGAGTCAAAGTCATTGTGAATCCTCAGTTTGAAGGCGATTCACCTTCACCCAGCATCTTTTAAAGTTTTAGTCTGATTATTTCTCATCTGCCTGCGGCTCTGGCCGGCCCATATTCCTCAATGTCCTCATCTGAGGTTCAAGCAATTGGTCATCATTCCTGGCCTGGCCGGCTGGCCGAGGTTGAGTTCCTCCCTTATTTATAATCTATATGGCTTTCTTCGTCTCTATTATTTGATTTATCAATAGCCAAAAACTTGACTTTCAGGTCTGCGAGAGGTCAATGTACTAGAGCTCATGCCCAAATAGGGGCTTTCTTTTCTCTTGCATGCGACTTCCCTTCCTCCCTCATTCATGAAAATCAAAGGAAGCTTCATCGAGAAGGGATAGGGATGGCGCATTGGCTTGGTTGGCGGCTTGGCTTCGCTATCGCTCATGACTTGGTATAGATTCCGTGTAGTCGGTGAGTACGAGTACATCCTATGAAACAGGCTTTGAGTTCCATTACATTGCCAAAATGAATTCTTGCCACTCTCCCTTCCAGTGAACCCCACGTGTCTGCCTCCGGCTTCGAAGCAGTGGGGAAGAAAAGGACTCGGCTTAACTTCACTTGGGTTCGGTTTACCTTGTTACTATTGGAATGATGGAAGTAGCTCTTCTTCCTCTTTGCGTTAGCGACTCTGAGCTCATAGGGAGCTGGGAATTAGCTTGGTTAGCTGGAGAAGGGATAGAGTTGAAAGATCGGATTTTTTTAGCGCGCCTTATGCCTGTCCTTTCCTGACTCTGTCGATGGTATGCCTGAGATGGCAGTTGTGATCGGTGGAAATAGAACTGACTGTTTTGGAATGTTGGTTCGCGAAATGTCGCGGTAAGAAAGAGTCGCCACCGTCTTTTATGTTCTCCAACAAGGAAAGGACAAAAGCACAGCAAAATTCCTTTTCGAGATGTTTCTCAGTTCGGGAGGTAGATTATAGAAAGGGAAGGTGTTAGCACCCTTTCTATCCGTGGTTATCCACGGGCTCTTAGGTACTTGCTCACTATGTTTTCAAAAATGTTTTGCTTTTCTTGTGTTTGTGGGTTTTGAAAAAAAAGTTTGTTTGAAAACTTCGTTTTGACCCTTGTATTTGTCCTCGAGAGTGTATGAAGTATTTGTTTGAAAAATTTTGTTTGAAAGTGTAGGTGCGAAAAGTTGTTTTTGTTTTTTGAAAGAAATTAAGTTGTGTAAATGTCCTTTAGATAGTACTATCCCACTATTGAGAAGTAGGTAGCACCGTCGTCGGAGTTATTCGGGTCAATTCGATTATAGGGACATGTGTGGTCACCAAAGCAATAGTAGGACGCCTTAGAGGTAACCCTAATGTCCTAGATCCTTTTTATCCGAGGCAACCGTTTCGAGGCAACTTGGATCTTTAGACAGGAGGGCGACCTCTAAAACACCCTATACTTAATGACCACGTCGAGGCAACCAAGTGAGGCGTACCCTAGGAGTGGCATGTGCATGTGTGTCAGGTTTCAATTATGTTATCTTTGCACATGTTATTGTGAGCTACGTGTTGATTTTAATTTTCAGGCAAGTCTTGTCATGCTTAGTTAACATAATTAATAATTGTGCGGAAAGTAAATTGCGGAAAGTAAATCTATGCTATTACAAGGCGTCGGGTATTTACATCGCCAAAAACATAACCCTTGAAAAGTAAATGCGGGAAAATAAAAGAAAGCGATAAAAGGGGTCTAATTATGCTATTACATCCTCGGAGCAAATACATAAATATGATCAAAAATTAATATGCGCGAATAGAAATTGAATCGGGAAAGTCTTAGGGTTTTGACCCTTTTTTGAGAAAGGATGGAATTTTTGGTTATTTTGCATTTAATTAAACCTAATTCTAACTAATTAAATAAAAGAAATGTCTTTTTTAAGTTTTTTTATGTTTTAATGAAAATAAAATAAAAATAAAAGGAATTAAAAGTTGTCAAAAACCTAATTCTACATGGATTTTATTTATTGCAAAAAATAGTCAAATTTATCCTAATTAACTAAATTAATTTGTTAGAATTTATTTACAAAATAATAATTAAAGGTGAAATTAATAAATAATAATAAATAAAAAAAATATTGTTTTCTGAATTTATTATGAAAATAATTAATTTGTTAATTAAATACTAATAATAATAATAATTACTAAAAGAATTAAATAGAAATTAAAATATAAAAGAAAAAAAAAGAATAAAGAAACCAGGGGGTGATGGGCCCATTAGGAGGTTTGTTTGGCAATCTGAAGCCCATTATCCTCTCAAGCCTGTTTGACTTTGGTAATTGCCCAGGGCGCTGGTTGACTGGGAGCATGGTAGTCATTCATCTTTGGCCTTCAGATCTGCTTGTGGCCACTTGGCATGCTGAGATGAGAAGCGTATGGTGGAACGCTTTTGGAGACCTGTATGTAATTACATGAAGAAAAATATGAGACAATTATTTTGGGGACCTGGGATTCGAACCCAGGTCCCAATGATCAATACACCAATGCCTTGGCCATCTGAGTTGCACGCTTTAGTCATTAATAACATAAGAAGCAATTATTATATTAGATAATTAATTCATATGCTGCATAAAAGCAAAAACACGCGCGCGTTTCACACGATCCAACCGTGAATCACCACGTCATCGTCTTCCTCCTTTGTACCTGCGTAAAATACATTAGATAGCGGGGGGTTTTAACCCCCACAACCTGCAACAATGAAAAATAGTGAATAGCTCCATAGTTTATATAAATGTTTCGTGATGGTCCCCTTAGATTCGTCTGGTCTCAACGATTCTAACCATAGGTCTTAAAGGGTCCAATTTTTCCTGGATAATAAAGCCCCAAATCCAAAACTCGGGAACCCTAGAATTTGTCAATGGCAATTCTTGATTCTGTACACTATAAGTCAATTAACTTATACCATTAGTTTCATAAGGATTCAAACAATGCAAAACGATCCATAAATCATGTTAAAAGCTTATGAATCATGAGTTTCGATTATGAGAAAAAAGGTCAAACCGTGAGACTGTAGGTGATGGTTTCTTGAGCTTTAATGCTTGGTTTCGATTGCAACACGTCCCTGGCACTTCCAGCAATGTGTTAGAAACAACCAAAGTCCTTGAATTGGCCTGGAAGATAGAAAACAGTTTTCAAGTTTCTTGAGTTTTTTTCAATGTTGCTATGGCTTCTTCTGCAGCAATTTCACGTCTGCATGATTAGGTTTAGCTCATGTATATATAGTAGACTGAAACTAGGTTAAATCTTGCAAAGAAATCCATGGAATTGATGATTGTATATTTGATTGAAAATCAAATATTTTTGAATCTTTTTTATTGGAAAAACTTGCTAAATTTGGATATTTTTGTCTCTTTGATTTGCACATGAAATTCTCAGCATATCTTGACCACATTTGCTTCACCAAAAGATTGAAAAATCAAATCTTTATATTTCCTACAATTTAAATTAATTAAATGAATTAAAATCAATTAAAAATCCAATTAATTAATAAAAAATAAGAAAATAAATCAATTTAAGCTTGGTGGGTCGTGCATAGGCCTTGGATAAAGTTTCAAGAAGAAATTTGAGGCCCATTAGCAAAAATAAGGTGTTTTGAGCAAAGTTGACTTTTGCAAATTCACAAAACTTTCCCAACTTATCCAATGCATATCTTGCTCAATTTTGATCATATGTACATGTTCTTGGACATTTTGGAAAGGTCTTGAAGTCCTCTAACCAATTCCTTTGGTCCCATGTCATTTGGATTTATCAATCTCAAGTTATGGCCTTTGACTCAAAATGCATTTTTGTTGACTTTTGAAATTGACCGATAATGTCAAAATTGATAACTTTTTATGAGAGCGTTTATTGGACTTGGAGTGTGAATATGGTTTGTAGGAAATGTCATCCCCTTCAAAATGAGCATTGGATGGGATTTTTATGATGAACCATGAAAAAGTTATGCCTTGGTCAAGATACATTTGACTTTTCTACTGTCCAAAAATAGTAACTTTTTGCATCTTAATGATTTTTGAGCCATTCTTGTGGAACCATGATCAAGACTTTATCAAATGATGATTGTGGACTCAAAATAATATGTTGACCAAAATTTCTGACTTTTGA